ACACACGTGCAGCTCTCACGCTTGGCGCGAACATGCACTCCCCTTAGAAAGGTCGTAGAGCCTATTATAACTAAGTATGAATAATGAGCTTACCTGGATCATTACAAATCTTTAATATTTGAACATTTTAATTGGTACTTAAACAACTAAAATTTATATAACAATGAACTCGTAACACCTTTCAGTTTCTAATAACAAATATTGAAAACATTACATGGCTCATATAAATTCCATCTAAGTTTAAATCACATAAATAGGAACTCAAAAAATATATAACTAGCAGTTAAAAATAACTATTCAAAAAACATATAAATAATAATAATATAAAATAGTATAAAATAATAATGAACTAAATAAGTAAGATTTTACATCGAAAAAACATAAAAATACAAAAAATGCATGTTAATTATGAATAATATTAATAATCTGAACACATGAAATATTGAAAATTCAAATTAATTAATTACTATAACAAATTAAAAATAAAATTAATTTTTTTGTTTATTACAACTTCATAAAAATACTATATATATATTAGGCAACTAATTAATGGGATAACAATATTATAGGGGGTCGTATTCTTCCATTTCATTATCCAAATGGACAATTCCATCGATTCATGGATGAACAGCAGACACTCGAACCAACGGCCATTGGTAATGTTGCGCAGTGTCATTCTTTACTATTACCAAATCACCAATGATAACATTCCTCTTCATTCTGATCCGTTTGCCTCGGCGTTGAAGTTGAGGCAGATACTCACCAACCCATCTTTTCCAAAAAGTTTTAAATAGAGACTACATGAGTTTAAACCTTTTAAACCGATTTTGTGGCTTAAAAGAAACATCTGGTTCTGGTGGAAGTAATAATAAAACACCAACCAGAAAGTGAGCAGGCGTGAGAACATTGAAATCTGAAGGATCAGTGGAGTTTGGACAGAGGGGTCTGGAATTTAATACAGCCTCTATTTGACATAACAAAGTAACGATTTCATCGTACTTCAACATTACTCCCTTTGTTACCTTCAGCAAATGACGTTTGGCAGATTGCACTGCCGCTTCCCAAAGGCCTCCAAAGTGCGGCGCAGATGGGGGTATGAAGTGAAATTACTTAATTTTTTACATTTTTGTAAAGCTAGGAATTGGTCTTGTAATATTGGATTAGCCCCAACAAAACCAGTCCCGTTGTCACTGAATAAGTCTGAGCATTGTCCCCTTCGTGCAATGAAACGATTAAAAGCTGCTGAAAATTCTTCTATTGCCAAAGTAGAAGTGAGCTCTAAATGTATTGTTCAAGTGCACAGACACACAAATATACAAACATAACATTTGATTGGGGTCACCTTTCTCAATCTACTTTTAACCATAATAGGACCACAAAAGTCCACTCCGGTGCGAGTAAACGGCCGTGCAAGTGATTCGCTCACGAGGAAGAGCTGCCATAAAAGGGGCACTGAACCACGGCTTGGACTTAAAACATTAAATACATTTCCAAACAACTTTTCTAGCAATCATCCTTTCACGTATAGGCCTATATATGTTATGCATATGCGTAAGCAAAGCCTGTGAACTAACATGCATCATACGTCGATGTTCATGTTCGAAAATCAAACGTGTAATAACTAAGGTAGAGGGTAAAACAATCGGATGCTTAGCATTGTATGATATAGAAGCATTTTCAAGTCTTCCTCCCACCCGAATTAGGCCATCGCTGTTAATAAATGGATTGAGTGACTTGAGACAGCTGCGACTATGAACAAGATTAAAAGTCTTAAGTAATGACATCTCACTGAAAAACGCTTCACTTTGTATTTTTAATAACAAAAATGTGTGAGCTAATATTATTTCGGAAAGACTCAAAGGACCCGTTTTATATTGTCTCCTTTGATTTTGCAATTAATAACAAACCTCTGAATGAAGGCAGTTACCCTAAGGAGCGTTGACCACTTGGAATAGTTATTGAGCAACTATTGCGAACTATCTGGTGCCGTTGATAACACTAACTTTATCGGACGCATTTCAGGTAAGTTTGCAGGCAAATTTGGAGTCACAGGCTAATTACCTTTAGATTGAGATAACTACTGAGGTCCATTCCACCACAATGTGCATGGATTAAACCGCTCTGTATCAACTCCTCTAGTGATTAAGTCAGAAGGATTGGCGGTAGTTACATTTCAGACATTTAGTATATTTACAAGATTTTACTTGATGACCAAAATTTAAACGCATAACTGTTGCTTGTCCTTCAGAAATTGGCATCTGAGCAAATTTTTCACATGCATATATGAGGTGGGCACCCGTGCAAAGTGGACACTTCATTGAATTTTGATCACTAGGACGAGTAAAGAAAGTCTTGTTATTGACACTCACATTTTTAGACCGATTACGGGTAATTCATTATTTGCTTGTTGCAGTTGCCATTCGCCGACAGAAGTGGCATCTAACTGATTACAAATAAGAGTCACTAGCCAGACATGAACTGGCTGCTCGAGTGCTTTTAGTGCATGAACATGTGAAACAATATAATGATGTAATTTCCGTAAATCTACAGCTGAATCTTGATGCACTTTTGATGAATGAAGTAATGCTCTTATGTGAGTTTGTATGGTGAGCCATTTGTTTTCATAGTGTTTGACTAATTCAGAATAAGCCTCTTCATAGTTGGCAGAAGTGATTGAGTAATTTTTAATGACGTCTAAAGCAGATCCGCTTAAGCTTGATTTTAAATAATGAATTCGTTGTACATCAGTTAATTTTAAATTCTCATGAAACAATGCATTAAATGTATTAATAAAATCAGGCCAATCGCAGAGATCTCCACTAAACTTTGGTAGATCAATAGCAAGGAGTCTCGTAGACTCAATGTGAGATGCTTACGATGAATTAGAAGTACTTAAAATTTCAGTGACCGCAAATTTGTCCAATAAGTCCTCCATAGTGGCCCTTAAAGTACAAATTTGATCTTCAAGCAGTAAATAATCATTCTCTTCTTTGAAGCCTTGTTCAAAGTTGTTCAAAGAGATTTCATTATGAGTTTCTACGAATGTAGACTAGTGTTCTTGTAATGAATTTAATCTTGTTTGATTTGTCGAAGGCTGTGAACGATTGGATCATATTTCTCAACGAACTTTTGAATAACAGAAATAGAAGTTTTGGTAGAAGCTCTTCTACGAATGAGTCGCCGAAGTGCGGATTATGGAGGTGGACGTGGTAACAGAAGTGTAGATGTAGATGGATTTTGCATAATGAAATAAATAAATACTAAGTGTGGGCGGATGGCTATCTAAGATTAAACTTATAACAAACAACTTACCGCTATGCCACCAAAAAAATTTTTTTTACCACACACTTTACAGTAAATGAATGTACAAAGTACTTATTTTACAAGTAAAAAATACAAATTTAGTAACTACTACAGGCAATAATGAACTAAGTGATTTGTAAGAAAATAAATAGATATTCTTAAATAAAAATTGTATATTATATTACTTTATTATTGTTCCATTTTTTTCCTTTTTTTAATATAATTATCTAATTAATTGAATTAATGAAATATTGTGTTTGAACAAGATTAGCTAAAATTTACCCCTTATCTGTGCGTAATGCAACTTAAAATGCACAAGGATCACGTCGAGGTCACCAAATGTTACCGCTTGGGCTGTTTTAAAAAATTTAACCCAAATAAAAGGGAATAAAACTCCGCCGTACAGCTTAATAATTTATTTAATAATCAATAAAAATTGTCTAATTAATTTAAATTTGCCAAAGAAAAATATTTTTTGTTAACACAAAATAAGCTTGTTCAGTTTAATAAATGAAACTAAACTATCAAATACGAATAACCGAATCTTTTATTACTGAATTAAATAATCAAGAAATAAAACCATCCCTACTATTTACATTCAACAAGTACATGTATTTTTTTTTTTTAATAAAAAACGACCGAGCAATACAGGCTGCTTATAAGGCGTCCTAACAGCTGATGGCGCACATATACGCTTGGCGCGAACAATTGGTATTTTCTTGAGATTATTGAGTTAAAGACTAGGTATTTAAAAAATATTGGTATGTTATTTCAAACTAAAATAAATAATATAATGTAAAAATGTCGGTTAAAAATAAATAATTAAAAAAAAGGGTACTTTGCTAACTATAAGCTATTTCTTTGATGTTTATTTAGATGACGCATTTTAAAAAATAATGTTTAAAATATTTTCAGATTTAAATGTTAAGTATTTTCTTAAATTAAAAAGTCCTTTCTTTTTTATAATTTCTCTTTAAAAATTCAACTTTGTTTTGTGAATAATATATTAATTTAAAATTATTTAATGAACACTCTATACAGTAAATTCTAGTGCGTTTAAAAAATTATAAAAAAAAAAAAGAATAATCAATGGCAAATATAAATTTTTTTTAATAATTCCAACAGTTAAAAAATTGTTTTTTAATTACTATAGTAGCTATCTATTCAAAAAATAAATATTTATTGATATATTTCAATATATAAAATCGCCAATAATTGAATAGTTATCGTCTGAAAATTTCGTAAAGCGTGCGTTATTAGACTTAGGAGATTATTCCAAAAAGCCAATAAAATTCCAAATTTGAATTAAGCCGAAATGTGTTGAATATATGGTATTGGCCTCAAATTTTGTAGGTATCCTTTTTTAATAGAAACAAACATTAACACTATGAACATTAAGAATATTAATAATAAGTCAAATAATTATAGTCAAAAAATAAAAAATCTTAATTAAAAAATTTTGTTACAAATTACATAAAAGTCATGAGCGATTCTTCAATTTTTATTTCATCACTAAACCAAACCTATTTATAAGTAAACATAAATTTATTCTCCGAAACTAAAAACGAAAAGTTTTAAATTAGTAATTATTAACTAAATACAGAATCTTTTAATATTTTCTATAAACCCAACCCAACCCGTCTAGTAATATTTACTGTATGTTTTCCCCACTAAGACTGTTGCATCTCTGTCTACAGATTTTTATTATCGTCTTTTTAAAAATTGGGAGTCGGACGACAAGACGGACGAAAAGACGGACAAGGCGCAGCAGGCGGGCAATAGTATGTACATCGGTAGTTATTATATTGACAATATACAGGAGTTCCAAACTGGAAGTCGGACGACAAGACGAACGAGGCGCAGCAGACGGTCATAAAAATGATAAATGTAACAAAAAAAACGTCAAATTTAAAAAATACATTAATTAATTAGCATTTTACTAATAGCTTAATTGGTTAAGAAGCTTATTTGAAGAACAGAATCAAACTAAAATTTCTGAATTTATTGATACTGAAATAATTGTCAATAATATAACAATACAAGTATATACAATTTTCTACTTAACATAACATCTTTATAAATATAATATTATTGATGTTTATATTTTTTCATCATCAATTCAAAGATTTAGAGAAATCAGTTTCTAAACGTATTAAAGAACTAGACTCGTACTGAATGACTGATGAATGTAATTATAAACAGCAATTATATTTGAAAATTATCTTTTTTTTTATTGCTAATGAATTTATGGATAAAATTATATTAGACCTTTTCAAATTTCATTAGTCTAAATAAATTTTATTTTTTTAATTATTTAATATATAATTAAATAATACACATATATATATATATATATATATATATATATATTAAAATTTTACCATCAATTCATATGAATTGATTTTCTCAATTATTTAAAAACATTTTTTTTGTAAACGATGTGAATTACGCAATAATATCAGCTTAGAAAAAAATAGTTCTCCTAATCGAATACTTGCCTCATTAGATGATGTTGTTATGTGAATACAAGAACATTTAAATAGACTTTTGAAATCTGAAGAAGCTATTTAAAAACACGAATCTGACCAAATTTTATCAACTAAGCAGCTTAACAAACAAATAAAGGTAAGCATCTAATGAATTTTTTTAAAGTTACTATAACAAATTAATATTATTATAAATTAAATAAAAATGATAGGATTTAGAATCCGAAGTAAATATTCTAAGAAATTGAGTAATAGACAAAAATGATCAGTTAACAATTGCTATAATGAAAATTGATGATCTCAGATTAATTAAAAATAGTGATGTATATTCAGATACTTCATTATTACACGATACTATAGCTAAATTAACAGAAGAACATAAGCAATGTACATTAACAATAGAAGATAAAAATAATGAGGTATACTCAAAATTGTTATTTGTATCCTTATGCACTAATTAATTTACATTAACTATAGATCACTAAATTAAATGTTTTGACTAACCATTTTAAAAATATGATTTCAACTTTAAATCACAAGCTAAACAGAAAAAAATTGTTTCATATTTGATTAATGAAATATACAGATTAAAAAAAGTAACATTACTATCACAAGTCAATAATTACACATAGTTTGTTTGATTAATATTTCTAAATATATATTACATGTATTATATACTATATATTTTTAGGAGTTAAATAAACAAATGTTTGACTAAGAACAATTATTAATAAAATAATCAGAACTTTTGAACGAAAAGGACTCAATGAAAAAATAGCTTTATGGTGAATTGTCTTCTATTAGATTGCAAGGGGGCTTTATATCGTCCTGTACAACATGGTTTGCCTCTTGCATAACGACTAGCTATAGTTGCAATGGTTGCCACCACCTAGGTGAGGTGTCACGCCTATCAGATATGATTTCCGAACCATAGGTAGAATTTAATTTTAAGTTAATTAAAAGTATAATCTAAGTTAATATGTCGTTTTATGTATAAATGACTATAATACATCGTGGTTTATTAACCACAATTATGACATTCAATGTTGATTGTAAAACATACCGTAGCCTGTGTCTAGATTAAGGAACAGGGATAAAATACACGCGAGTAATTAAGTTACTCGCGCAATAAAATAAATATTATAGTTAAAATTAACAAGGAAATTTAATTTAATTGTTATAAAAAAAAGAATATTAAGTTAAACATGGACAAAAATACGAATGCTTCAAAAACCATGTCTACAAATAAAGACAACAAAAATAAAATAAAATATTTAAATAAGAAAACAAATAATATTACAAACATCACGGACGGTATTGGAACACATCCATTAATGTTAATTGGATATTAATGAAAAAAAACAGGAGCGGTCTGGACACTCACTCCTTAGCTTTGGCTAGAAGAAAAGCGAAACACGTGCTCTACACACATAAACAAAATTAAGTTAATTTACGATAAAATATAAATGACAATAAACGTGTGCACTCTAGCACGGTCAATGACAGAAGAAGGAATGGAGAAGAGCCAACACCGATCTAACGGCAATTTCAAATCGATAACGGCTAGTCTTTTTGGCAGGGATCAATACTAATAAACAATTCGATTTTAATTATATTTCTCTTTTATAGCCTTATCTAGCGGTCAGCGTTAAATAATGAAAGGTGACACCGTTGTGTCAGGAAAAAGTTTTTTCGCGTATTAAAATAAATAAGTAGACATAACAAAAAATCATAAACGGTCCTCCTTCGAATTTGTGACGGTACAAGCTCAAATAAGGCAGGGCCAGATTTAGGGGAGGGCTGAGTGGGCTGCAGCCCAGGGGCCCCCACAAATTTGGTATACATTGGTATCACAAATATGATGATAATTGTTATTTAATAAGTAAAAAAATATATTTCCTTGTTTATATATAAGGGGCCACCACATACCTAAGTCCGCCCCTGTAATAAGGTATGCAATGGCATTATTGAAAATGACAATTTAATATCATTATATCAAAGATATGAATTAGCAATACTTTATAGGGGTACTCTGAATTATTGTTGTACAAAAGTGGTATGGATTACATACATTATTTCTAATACAATTTTATTATTTTTGCAAGATAAATTATGAATATTGCTTTGTACGAGGCAGCTAGACAGTAGGATGGCCAGTTGTGCACCGCACTAGAATGCTGTTTTACCTTCACCCAGAGAAAAACCTCGATCTATATAATAAATTCATTGTTCAATTTGATAAATATATCATTACTATTGAATCAATGATATATTTATCAATATGATATTTTTTTTTCTTGTCTTGAACAATAATTATTTATAAGAATAGTTATTTTGTTCGTATTAATAAAACATTATCATAAACCCTTGATAAAATTTCTCTTTCAATTTTGACTGAGGTTTTTCTTTGAGTGTTAAGCCTGTTTAAATCGCTATTATTGAAGGAGGAATGGGTCACGCTTGCGGCAACTTACCTTTAATTGTGAACTGTACTAGAATGCCGTTTTATCTTAAGCCTGTTTAAATCGCTATTATTGAAGGGGAATGAGTCACCTTGAGGAAGGACGGCTAAATGTACATCCAATAAGTAAACGAGAACAGAAAATAATTAAAAACAAATAACTACATATATTTGTAAGTCTTCAGAGAGTATCTTAAATTTAAGGGGTAACGGGGGCCCTTAAATACTAATGGCCGACAAAGCGACATAAAACAAATAGTTAATCTCAATTAAAACAAACATTAAAAATAATATATACTCAGCTGAATAGATGAAGTTGTTAATAGTGATGAGTGGACTGTATGAGATTTTGTGGTAATGGTGTCGAACATCTGAGTATGACGAGTCAGAGTGTAGATCCAGGCACGTAATGACAGATGAGAACAGACGGCGAAAAAGCGACTACGTCAATGAAGATATTTAGTAATGATCAGGGCCCAATCACTAGTGGCGTTAAAGGGCACGTAAACATTGAGCATAAGGATGCAATAAACAAATAAAAGAATAACGACGTACAATGGCCGAACATTTTACGATTCAAGCGAAGGCGCTTGCTACAAAAAGAAAAAGACACATAAAACAATTGACAGATTAACTTACGACAATGAACTGTACACGGATGACAATCGACACAGAGGTCATCGATTTGCCGTGCTGGGTGGGCAAAGGGGTGTGTAAAGAAACGCACTGGAGATCAACGGTCAACGTTATAATATAATCAACGATGTTTGTAACATACTAAATCTTTGCTAAAGGCATTCCGTACCAAACAAATATTCTTTGAAGTATATTTTTATTTATTTTAATTCTTATTTAATTCAATAACATTAACATTTCAGCCCAAGAAATAATCAAAAATTGTGAAAATTGGGCACCATTACAGTCTGTGCTTGAACAACATTATGCCGAGTGTGGTAAAATGATAGATGAATTAAAAAAAGAAAAAGATCTAATTCAACAAGATATACTACATGAAGTTAGTATATTTTTAAAATAAATAATAGGTTTCAATATTACAATAATTGAATATTAATATTTTTTAAATTATTCTTAAATGAATTGTATTGCAATTTATAAATTATGTATACTTATAGTATAATTTATATATAAATATTTTTTTACTTCATTTATGTTTAACATATTATATATTGATATATTTAAATTATCATCAAAATTAAATGTAACAAAAAAAACGTCAAATTTAAAAAATACATTAATTAATTAGCATTTTACTAATAGCTTAATTGGTTAAGAAGCTTATTTGAAGAACAGAATCAAACTAAAATTTCTGAATTTATTGATACTGAAATAATTGTCAATAATATAACAATACAAGTATATACAATTTTCTACTTAACATAACATCTTTATAAATATAATATTATTGATGTTTATATTTTTTCATCATCAATTCAAAGATTTAGAGAAATCAGTTTCTAAACGTATTAAAGAACTAGACTCGTACTGAATGACTGATGAATGTAATTATAAACAGCAATTATATTTGAAAATTATCTTTTTTTTTTATTGCTAATGAATTTATGGATAAAATTATATTAGACCTTTTCAAATTTCATTAGTCTAAATAAATTTTATTTTTTTAATTATTTAATATATAATTAAATAATACACATATATATATATATATATATATATATATATATTAAAATTTTACCATCAATTCATATGAATTGATTTTCTCAATTATTTAAAAACATTTTTTTTGTAAACGATGTGAATTACGCAATAATATCAGCTTAGAAAAAAATAGTTCTCCTAATCGAATACTTGCCTCATTAGATGATGTTGTTATGTGAATACAAGAACATTTAAATAGACTTTTGAAATCTGAAGAAGCTATTTAAAAACACGAATCTGACCAAATTTTATCAACTAAGCAGCTTAACAAACAAATAAAGGTAAGCATCTAATGAATTTTTTTAAAGTTACTATAACAAATTAATATTATTATAAATTAAATAAAAATGATAGGATTTAGAATCCGAAGTAAATATTCTAAGAAATTGAGTAATAGACAAAAATGATCAGTTAACAATTGCTATAATGAAAATTGATGATCTCAGATTAATTAAAAATAGTGATGTATATTCAGATACTTCATTATTACATGATACTATAGCTAAATTAACAGAAGAACATAAGCAATGTACATTAACAATAGAAGATAAAAATAATGAGGTATACTCAAAATTGTTATTTGTATCCTTATGCACTAATTAATTTACATTAACTATAGATTACTAAATTAAATGTTTTGACTAACCATTTTAAAAATATGATTTCAACTTTAAATCCAAATTAATAGAAAAAGAAAACATTGATACAAATACAATAAAAAGCTTAGAGTCAAAAGTTGTAAATCTTGTCGAAGAAAATATGAATTTACAGGTAAATTATTTAAAATGAAAAAATTTAAGACAAATTTATTGCATTTTTTGATTATCAAAAATATGTATGAAATTAATCATGTCACTCACTTATTTTAGCCAAGTTAGTTACTCATGTATGATTTATCAGAAGAAATTATAATATTAATTTTAAAAGAAAATCTAAATTTATATATACTATTATTTTATTAGTAATTTACATTATAATTAAAAAAAAATTTTTCATTACATAAATATCTGGACATTAGAAAAAAAGTACTAGGTGAAATAAATCTTAATGCAGATTTAAATATCAATATTATAAAAGTGGAAAGCTATATCAAAGATGTAGAAAGTAAAATAAATTATGAATGTACTAATGAATAAACAAATAAAGAGGAAAATAACATTATTGAGGTATGTTATACTAGTTAATAAAATTTATTTATGCACATTCAAAAAAAATTTTTTTTTTATTTATCACTAATAAGAAAAATACGTAACTTATTTTTGTTTTTATTTTTTCAAAACTTTGAAATAGCATTATTTTAGCTCTTAACTCATAAAAAATGTTGATAGTTTGATAATGTTTTTAGAATAAGTACTTATTGAGTTACAAAGTTTTTAATACATAATATGCGTATGAATCACAGGAACACTACTCATTCATCAGTAAACACCTACCTTCTCTACATACTCACTCAATGTGTTAAAATAATTGTAATTCAATAAATATTTGTTTTACACTTGTTATCAACCAATCAAAAATTGTTGTAAGAAAATTATTTTATTATTTTAGAAATTGAATCAACAATTAAGAGATTTTATGAATAAATATCAAATTTTGGATCAAGAGTTAAGTGAAACTATTAATTTAAATAAAAAATTAGACAATCAATTAAATAGAAATATAGACATTAAGGAAGAAATGGACCAAAAATTAGGAGAAGCCTACAGAAAAATGTATACTAATTGTATACATTCTAATTCTAGATTGTAAACTAGAAAATGTATCTAGTGAAAATAAGAACAGTGTTATAAATGGTATTTTTAATTTAAATTTTAATATAATATTTAAATAATCTCACTACATTTTAATATGGCTGCCTAAAAGCAGCCTGTCTTTTATTCTGTATATTACGAATTTAAAATTAGTATATAAATTCTAAAATTCATATAATTCATTTTAAAAAATAATAGATGAGTTTTAATAAATTTTAATAAAATTATGTTTCTATAAAATTTTTCATTTTTTTTTTTTTTAAGTTTATTTAAAAGGCTTTTAAGTTCATATTTTACTAATAGATTGACATATATTTATAAAAGTTAATACTAAAATATTTTAAGTGATTATTTTCTATTGTATACAATATCAAATATTTTTATTAGTACTAAACAACTTTTTTTGAAATATGAAAATTTCTTTTTAACCTCTTATATGAGGCACATAGGTATATATGTGACAACTTTTATTTTCAATAACACCATGTAAGTAAAAAATGTATTCTTTACAGGTATATATTATATTAATGTAATATTATTTATTTGATTAAAATATCAATTTTATTTTATTTTTAGCTTTTAGAACATCAAAAACAACTCAAACAATGAAAACAAAAATACCATGATATTTCAAAACACTATGAAACCTCAAAATTAAGTGGAATCCAGGTTTCTGATATAAAATAATATCTATTAATGTAATGTTATTTATACATTTTCTAATTTTAGATTAAACTACAAATACAATTAGAAAAAATAGAAAAAGAAGTAATTGAGTGGCAAAAAATAATATAATGATTCCTTATTTGAAAATCGTAACATTCGAAATAAGGTATCAAAATAATATACAAATGAATTATGAGAATGTGTTGTACAAATATTTTCAAAATGAATATGATTTCAATTAAGTAAAGATACTATATTTTCTTCCAGTATTTGTAATCAAATTAACTTATTATACAATAATTTTATTTTCTAAATTTTGATTTTCCTAGTGAGAATTTATAAATTAGACTATTATCAATTTGAGTTAAGATATTTGTATATAAGAATTATATACAAAATAATTTCAGAAAAATTTTTAAGTGTATAGGATATGTTAAGCACTTAAAAGTTTGTATATTTTGAGTGTTTTACGTAAAGTTCAGACACAATAGATAACCTTAAATAATAATCCATGTACAGGTAAAAATTACTTATAGATTTAACTTTTAGCACTAAAATGAAAAATTAACTACTTATAAATTACTTGTTCCTGAATACACTGTATATAACATCAAAAATTGAACTTCATCACCTTTGTCTGCCCGCAACAAATTATATAATTTATCTTGAAAAAATGAGTATTTATGTATATTAGGTGTGAACGTGTAAATTGATTATGTACCTATGCTCTTACGAACGTCTATTTCATTATTAAGAATTTATAGCACTAATCTATTTATAATATTTACCCTTGATTAATTAAAGTTTATTTAAAATTTTTTTTTTTAGAGGCAATGTGATGGTACATTTATAACAATAATTATCACATGTAAAACATTACATGTTTATGTAAAACATTACAAAAACACGTGATAGATTTGCAAAGTTATGTTAAAGAATTAAGTAATAAATTGAGTGAAAAAGTAAACAATGAATTTCTGTAAACTTAATTCTTAAATTTAAAAAAAAATATCTCTAATGAACATCATAATTTTTACCAAGAATCACATTATTATTCTTTAGTGTGGCAAAAAGTGTACTTAGTAACACTAGCTGGTGGTAAAGACAAGGTATTAAGACTCATTATCCCTGAACTAAAATGGCCTTCTTAAAAGTACAATGCAAAAAATATGTGATTAACGTAAAATGTCTAACTTTAATTAAGTTTGAATATCATTCAGCTAAATATAGTACTACTTAGTATTTTTTTTTTTTTAGAATTTTAGTTATTTGTGTAATTGCTATAAGACGTATGAAAACGACTGCAGAAAGATATGCTGGAAATCAATTAAATAAGACATATTATAATTTACCAAAAAAAATGCCATGGATCAAATATTAAGACTTGCATTTATTTTTGTATTAATTCATTTAATATTTTTATACTTTTTAAATAAATTTTTATTAAATATTAAATGATTCATGATTAACTCTTGAATTTCTCATTTGAGCTTTTGACTGAATTCTTAAAGGTCTATGAGAAGCCTCATCAATATATAAATTATTCTTATTTAAGTACTCCTATAATCAAAGCATTAAAAAATAGTTTTTTATTAAGTACAAATTTTTAACTTTTTGCCTGTAATGTTTAAGAAGAGGTATTATTGGTTTCCCCTCCTATGTGCATTTTTCTTTAGTTTTAAATGCATAGACTACAAATTCTTCATTTTCTGTATTACATAATTTTTCATAAGTAACTGAACGTTCAATGTCAGCTTCTTTATCTTTTAAATGTGTTGCTACTTAATCAGCCTAAAATTGGTATAAGCATTTAACTATAGTAAAGGGTACTCGAGTGTCCAAGTAACCCGTATGAGAGAAATTGCTGGGCAATATCGGTGGTAATAAAACTATATATTATTGTCCGGCACTTGGTTTTTTGTATTTTTGACAAAATTTAATTAAAATAAATTTCACTTCTTCAACTGAAGTTTTCTCGAAATACTACGTTCTTCAAACATATGTTGAAATAAAGCATATGATACTTAATATATGTGTCAAAAAAAATTGTCTGGACGATCAATTTTTTTAATGCAAATGGCATCCGTAGTTAAAAAACATGCTAATTTTGTGTTTGATTTTAATTTTAGCTTCGATGCGAAGCTGAGAAGGTATTAATTTTACTATGATGTGTTTTTTTTATTTATTTTTTAAATAAATATCGTTTTGTGTGTCTGTGAACGCTTAATCTCAGCTCTCGCTGGACCGATTTTGATGAACAATACGTCAAAAGAACCCAAATCGTATTTAGTCGAAGACATTACCCTCAAAAATTGAAAAAAATTCCCTCGTTTCCCGTAAACGGGGGAAATCCCTCCAAAAATTACAAGTTTAAAAATCGCTAATTTTCGACATTTTTTCAATTTTTTTTACTTAAAATTGCCATAACTTTTTTTTAAATTACCGAATCAATATAATTTTTTTTTTTTATAGATACCTTAGGTAAATACCTATCATTTTATTTTTGTGAACATTTGATCCTTTACCAGCCCACAGGAAGGGTTTCAAAATGGTAACTTTTTTACAAAAAATTAACTTTTGAAAATGTTCCGGAAAGACTGACACTTCTATATATACCTTAAATTAAAGCTTATATTATCAACTTTAATTTGAAAAAAAAAAGTTTGACCTTTGGATTAGTCTTCATGGTGAAAATGACTACCATATTCAAAAATATACTATTTTTGTGTTAAAATTCTGGGTTTTGTATTTTATTTTATTTTAAAATACCTGACAAGGGGAGTACAGATTTTCATAAATATTATATAAATAAAAAATTGACATAGCATAGAAAGTTAAAATTATTTAAATTTTTTTACTTTTTAAATTCGAGAAAAATTATTTTAAAATTTGAACTAGCTTAAATACCTAATTTTTTCAGTCGACGTTAGCGACGTACGATTGCCGAGTCGGTTAAAATTGTGTTTAACGCGCTTGGAGTACAAGGTTTCCATCCCGCATATGGCAATGTATTTTTTGCATTTTTTCTTAATTCTTTTTAAGTTACAATAAATTTTCGACTGCTTTGATTTTTATCTCATTTAGATTCAATAACTTCAATAAAGATCAAGGATCCTATCACTGTTGTCGCCACTCGCGAGAAGGAATTTTTTATTCATATTAAAATTATTTTACTATATTTTAAGTTTTAGCTTTGATGCAAAGCTGAGAAGATATTTCTTTGTGAGTATCATTTATTTTCTCTGCTCTAACTCGACCTACTTTTTTCAACGATACGTCAAATGACTACAATTCGTATCTAGTTGAAGATATTTATATGTAACATAATTTAATAAATTATATAATTATTATATTAATTAATCTTAAAATGAATAAATAAAATAAAATTTTATAAAATACATTCAGATATATATTTTTTATTGTGTAACTATTTTATATTAATACCTTTACTATAAATTATAATCGAGAAATATTGGATTTACATTTAATAAACATCAATAAATCAGTTATATCATAGAGTGGGAGAGGGTTATGAAATAATATACTCAGGTAAGTCTAGTACAAAGAATGGTGTAGGGATAATAATGGATGAGGAAATGAAAAGTAGAGTAGTAGAAGTAGCTACACCCAAAGAAAAACCTCAATCAAAATTGAAAGAGAAATTTTATCAAGGGTTTATGATAATGTTTTATTAATACGAACAAAATAACTATTCTTATAAATAATTATTGTTCAAGACAAGAAAAAAAAATATCATATTGATAAATATATCATTGATTCAATAGTAATGATATATTTATCAAATTGAACAATGAATTTATTATATAGATCGAGGTTTTTCTCTGGGTGTAGGAAAAGTGACACAATAATGGTCATAAAATTTATATTTGAAGAAAGAGTTCTGAATGTAATAAGTGCCTATGCACCACAAGTGGGATGTGATGAAATAGACAAGGAAGGGTTTTGGAGAGAGATGGATGAGGTGATGCAAGGGGTACCTGGCAATGAGGATGCGGTGATAGGCGGAGATATGAATGGACATGTAGGCAATGAGAGGAGAGGATATGAAAGAGTATATGGAGGGTAGTTTTAGTAGGAAGAATGAGGCTGGAGAAAGAATATTGGATTTCGTATGATCTTGCTATGGTTAATACTTATTTTAGAAAGAGGGAATAACATTATATAACATTTAAAAGTGGGAGGAATAGATCACAGATCGATTATTTTATGTGGAAGAGAGAGAGCGTAAAACGAGTAAAAGATTGTAAAGTTATTCCAGGCGAGAGTGTAACTACTCAACATAGACTGATGGTAATGGAGTTGTGGTGTACCAGAAAAAGAATAAACAAAAATAGAAGAAACAGGGGAAAAATTGAAGATCCGGTAGTGGAAATTGAAATGGGAAAATGATAAAGAGTTTGTTAAGACGATAAAAGAGAAGACGGTGTGGAATAATTTGCTAGTTGTGTAAAAAATACTGCAAAGGAGATTGTTGGTGAGAGTAGGAGTAGAATGCCAGGAAACAAGGAAATCCAGTGGTGGGATGAGGACGTTCAAAAAATCATAGAAAGTAAAAAAAAGCAATTCAAAGTATGGCAGAAGAGCAAAAGTAGAGAAGACTGGACGGAGTATAAACGCTTTTGCAAAGAAGCCAAATGTGCAGTAAGTAAAGCGAAGTTTAAGAGGTATGATGAGTTGTATGATAGGTTAGGAACAAAGGAAGGCGAGACAGAAATCTATAGATTTGCAAAGATAAGAGAGAAAAGGTCTAAATATTATCATTATATAAGGTATATAAAAAGAGTTGATAATAAGATACTCTCAAATGATGATGATGTGAAAAAAAGGCGGAAAGAGTATTTTGAAAAATTACTGAATGAGGCGTATCCAAAAGGTACAATAGAGGATATCTCGTGGAATGAGGGACTGGTAGAATTAATTAGTGAGAAAGAGGTATCGGAGACTGTGGCATCAATGAAAAAGAATAAAACAGTGGGACCAGATGAAGTGCCAGTAAAAGTATGGAAAATATTAGGCGGTATTGGCATAAGGTGGTTGAAGAAACTTTTAAATAAAATCATATTAGAAGGGAAAATACCAAATGAATGGAGGAATAGTATTGTGGTGGCGATATTTAAAGGTAAAGGAGACATACAGGAGTGTGGAAATTATAGAAGCATAAAGCTTATGTGTCATAGTATAAAAATTTGAGAAACAGTAATAGATAACAGAATAAGAAATGAGGCATCGGTATCTAAAAACCAGTTTGGATTAAGCAAAAATATTTTTAAATTTAACAGTTTGATCAATGATGCATCGTGAGTTTATTATTTGACTTTAAAAATATTATAAATTATCAACTTTGTTTGAAGTTTCTCCACGCTGAAATAATGAGTGTTATAAAATTTCAACGTAATTTTCTATGTAGCGAAACAAAAAAATACATGTCAATTGTTACTAAGGGCAAGTCATCACATTGAAATGGTCTATTAAAAAAAGATAATATCAAAGTACGGTTGATAGAAGTTTACGGGCATTTTCAATGAACTCTTCAAAAGAGGACAACACATATCAGATTGTGTCCAATAGCCCAGATGTTCCCAGGATGAGATCAATAACAACGTCGAATGATTTGTAATGCGATCTTCTAAAAGTAAAAAATAAAATCAAACAAAAATCCAAGTGACCTAATAACAAAACTCATACTGTACTTTTTTGGTGATGCGAGGACACAGTCTAAACAAAAATCAACAGTGCAGAATGTTCAATACTACGCCGTGGGTACAAAAGAAGTGAAAACGTTATGATATCCCAGGCTTTGCACAGACTGAAATTTATAAATCACATTGATTATTACAGTCATTACTATTAAGAAATCATCAAAAAATAAATATTTAACTATTGAAATTACTGTACGACAATAGTGAATTAAACATTTTAATGATAAATTACAATAGAACACCACAATAAAGATGTTTGTGAGAATGAATAAATAAATATGCAAACAAAAATTAAAAATGTATGATTTAGTTCAACACACATCACACAGTGTAGTCACCAATAGATAAAATACTGACAGACTTATTTTAATTAACAAATAAAAATGAATTACCCGCGTAATAAATCTATTATCCATTAGAGCCAGCACTTTTGGCCATTGTGCTGAGCCGCTATTCAATCACAATCGTCCAGACACAAGAGATGCACAGTCTAAAAATTGCAAAATCAAATTAAATCAATACTGCCATTACCATAATAATATATCTACAATATTATTATTACAATTGCTGTGAAATTGTCTATAAAATATTTCAATAAGATATAATCATAAAGGGAATGACAAATACAACTGTAGTACATGCAATCAAAAAATTAATGAAAGAAAAATGTATATACAGAGTGGAACGGATCTAACTTATGACATAAAATAACATAAAGCATATTTCAAATATAGTTCTATATTGTAAAAATTAATTAAAAAAAAAAAAAAGTATAAAATTTTATGTAGATCATATGTTATATGAGTTGTCAGTTAGATCAGTTCTACTCTGTATATATATAGAGAGAGAGATTGTATAGACTGATGTACATATTGTAGCAATAAATGAAATACAAATCAACCTAATGATTAAAAGTAAACTCGTTAAAATGTAAAAAGATGAACTCTACTTTAAGAAAAATGAATAACAATTTATTTTTATAACAAATGAAAATGAATTACCTGAGCAATAAATCTAATATACGACTGGCAACAATATCCAGCATGGTAATCTTGGAACAACAGATGCAGTGTCTAAAAAAATTACAAAATCCAATTAAATAAATAGTTCCATTACCATAATAATATTAACAATTTAAAAATTATTATAATTCAAAAATAATCATATAGGGAACAAATACAAATACATGCAAACGAAAAATTAAAAATATAATGACAGCAAAATTAAAATAATTTACAAAACACATTAATTATTGCCATCATTACCGTTGAAGAACAACATTTTAACAATGAATCATAATACAGCACCACAAAGATGTTTATGAGTGTGAATAAATATGATAACAGAAATAAAAAAATATTTATTCAACACACATTACACAATGCAGTCACCAATAGATAAAATAACGACTTAGTCGACTTAAGATAACGAATTACTCGTGTAATAAATTCATTATCGGTTGGAGCCTGCACTCTTGACCAATGGACTGAAATGTTATTGAAGCAGTCTTTCGGACAGACAACAAACGCCATCTAAAAATTACAAAATAAAATTAATCAATACTGTTATTACAAAAATGATATAAGCGATTATAAAATTATAACATAATTATTACAATAGCTGTAAACTTGTCAATCGCAACTTTCAATAATAAATAATCACAAATATATGTATGCAGTATGTGCATACATATATTATATATATATACTCTTGTTTAAGAAAAGTAAATGATAATTAATTTTTTTCTCTTGAAATAAAACAAATTACCCGTGCAATAAATCTAATAGAAACGACCAATCACCAGCGCAATTATCCTGGCACGACAGTGTGCTCAACACAGTTTAAAAATTACAAAATCAAATTAATCGACCATAATTATATTAATTACAGAAGAAGATTTAGAAGAACCGATAAATTTACAAAATTGAATCAAACAATACCGCCGTTATTGTTAAAACGTAGACGACAGTACGAAAACTGAGTTAATGACGATCGCTGTGAAATCACAGAACTCGCGTTTCGTGAAAACAATTGATGATCGAAAGAACTGCAAACGCGCAAAACAATAAGCGAACGTTATTATGGCGACGGACGGAAAAACGAATATTACACAAAATCAAAACGACGGAGGACTCGTTGATAATGACCGCGCTAGGGCCTCGGACTCAGTGATAACGATGAAAAGACGGTAACGGGGATTTGGCGAGTGGGAGGCGCGCTATACCGTTCTACGGAATTCGGAAAATCGCGAACTTAAAAAGACGGAGGCGCCGAAAAATTGGCGCGCCGCGAGCAAAAGACGCGAAATTCGGAGCCCCGTCGAACGGTACCTGTGTGGAGACCGTAAGAGAAAAAGCGAAATTTTAAACCCGAGAAAAGGTAAAATCCGTTCCAGGTGCAGCTTATTTGGAGGGGCTGAGATTTTAGTATATAGCTAAAGATGAGACTAAAGATGAGATTTTAGTATATAGCTAAAGACTAAAGACTAGTGATGGGCATAATCGAGATATCTCGATTATGTAAATAATCGAGATATTTCGATTATTGAAATCATATCTATTATATAATCGAGATATTCTGATTTTTTAAATAATATTGATTATTCTATAATCGAGTGATTATTTCTAATGATTTCTCGTTTATTATAAAAACAATGATTTCTTGATCTTGAAATGTATATAATCGAATAAAAGTTATTTCGAATGATGTCCATGAAACGATGAAACGAGAGAATACTATTTTTAAGTTTTTATTTAGCATAAATTATAGTCGAATTATTATTAAATTGTTGACTTCGAGTCTTCTTATTTTCAACTCGTTCAATCGCTACTCATGACAACACCTTATCTGTCACATTTTTGGGAAGTATGTGACGATTAGAACAAAGTTTTGTCCTGAACTGGTTAAACTACTAAGTTCTGATTCTCTCACTAGTTGTGAATTTATGAAAAATCAATTAGGTGTGGAATTAGGTGTTTTAATTATGATGGTCAAGCAGGCTATTGCTACCTTATCTTATGTTTTTATTTTTAAATTTGTTATCGGTTTTTTTAAAATATAGGTAATAATTATTAAATAATAAAAATAACAACTTGTCTTTTATTTAAAGCACTTATTAATAATGCATTATTAATATATTATTGTTATTATTATTCCTAAATTATAGTTTAATATAATAATTATAAATAAACACCAACAAATAAAAAAAGCAAAATTAAATTAATAATTATTTACTATAGGTATATTTATTCATATTTCAAATAATTTTTCGATTCTCTCGATAAATAATAATAGTTGATTATTCTTATCATACGAGCAGACGATTTTAACTTCGAGTGATTTTTCGAGAGATTCACTCGATTATGAAAATGTCTCGATTACTAATCATTCGATTATCGAAATCATTCGATTATGCCCATCACTACTAAAGACTAAAGACTAGAGACTAGAGATAAAAAAGAATAATCTGACGTGTACACAATAATACGAAAATGATAAAAAGTCATTGATAAGAAACTAAAGAGTTTAAAATATTTACTATGAGATAATATTTGGATATGATAGTGCGATATTATGTTTATCAAATTCAATTTCTGTACGTTTCGAAGACATTTAAAATTTACTATAATTATTTTTTTTATAGTGTATATGGATATCATCTTTTTTTGTTCAAATTAATAATTAAAATATTTATAAGTTGCTGTAATGATTTACAAGTATTTTTTTAATCACATCAATGAACACTTGAGTTTTAACTCTGCTATTTTAATGACAGCTTCTGTTCTTATTGTTGGGTATGTTTGGATATATTTACGAACATCTCGTAAGTGTAAAATGATAGATTTGGTCAATAAACCGCACAGAATATTAATTATTACAGCTCATCCTGATGACGAATGCATGTTTTTTGGGCCTACAATTAAAGAATTAACCAAAAATAGTAATGTACAAGTGTATCTAATGTGTTTATCTGATGGTAAGAGATTGTTATTTTTAACACATTTCATTAATTTTTTAAAAATATTTTATGGAAATTAAAATGCTGGGCAATTGATTTAAGGCTCATATAGTCTTTATCCTAGACGTGAAAATTAAATAAAAAACTTTATTTTTTCTTAGTGTAATTTATGTAGTATCATTCTAAGATAATAAATTGTCATTTTAAATGTAGAATTTCACATCATAATTTTTTCTTTATTAAAATTGGTACTACGAGCAAGCATAATTTTTAAAGAAATTTCTGACCTGATATGGAAAAATCAAAAATATTAATAACTTATTTTTTTTAGGTAATTATGAAGGTAAAGGTACAATCCGTATATCAGAATTGTATAAAAGTTGTAAAATACTTGGTATGAAAGAAGAAAACATTTTGGTTTGCAAGTAAATTTTACTGGTTTATTTGTTTTTAAGTTATTCTTATAAACTATTAATTATAGAAATGGTAATTTTTTGGATAATCCAAATGTATATTGGGAAACCACAATTTTAGCTGATAAAATTTCTGAGCATGCAGAAAAGTTGGGTGTTGATATTCTGTTAACTTTTGATAACTATGGCGTTAGTGGTCATCGAAATCATATTTCTATTTATATGGCATTTGTTTATTTAATGTACAATAAAACTCTTCCAAATGGTAAGAATAATAAATTTAATTATTTTAATTTACTGGAGAAAATATTAATGTACATTATTTTTAAAAATATTCAAATAGAATGCTGCTTTTACACACTTGATTCAGTAAACATAGTTCGCAAGTATATAAAATGTCTTGATAATTTATTTAATGATCAAACTGATTTAAAATATATGCTTTTGCCAACAGAACAAGATTCTATAAATGTAAGTTTTCTTAATTAATTACTACCAACAATTTGATTAATTTGCCAAAAATCAAAATTTGGCATCTTTCTTCCTAAAAGTAACATTTTTTATTTTTTACATTGATTCAATAATTTTAGTGAACAAATATTTCTATTCAAATTATTTTTCAGACTATAGATTTTTTTATGTTAGAATATTTTATTGTGTTATTACAGAAAGCAATGCAAGCTCATTCATCTCAATATGTATGGTTCAGAAAATTATTTATGAGATTTTCAAGATACAAAATTGTTAATACATATACTGAAATTTCAAAAAACAATTTATAGAATCAAATTCTATTAATAAATTTTTGTTGATATTATGACTGTGATAATTGATTTATTTTATAAGTTACTATTAAATTGTACTTACCTTTGTAATAACAATTACAAATGTATCCTGTGTCATTACTGTTTTAATTTATTTTTATTAGTATACAAGTCTCAAATTGATTAGTATCCTTTTTTTAGTTTTATTTATTGGTTAGGTTTCAACTTAATTGTAATTAAACATTTAATAATGTTTTTTTTTTTAATATAAATAATCTTTTTTGATTAATACAAAAAATTATTTTTTATTTATTGGAATTTTGTTATTATAAGACTAAGAAATTATTCGTAATATAATAGTATATAAGATGTATATTTAGTATATTTTTCAATAAAATTTAAAAACAATACAGTATGAAATCAATGACGTTTTTATTATTGATTGATTATTAATCGTTAAAATAAAAATTTTTATCACTAATAATGATAAGGTGATAATAATTTTATCAATTTCGGTATAAGCTTGTGATAGTTGATAGAGAGGATGCCGGAATCACAATATACAGTTTAGATGTAACTAACTTGACTTTTTAAACCTAAATTTAATTTCATTATTCTATCATTTTAATGTCCTTACATGAAAATAATTTTTAGATAAATTTTTTTTGTAACTTAACTATTAGAAGTTAAAATGTTTAATTCATTAGTAAAACATTGCACAATCATTTACCAAAAGCAAATTACTGTTCCATTAAATATCAGGTGTGTTTATAATATTATTTAAGTAAACTACAATCGAAATATTTTTTTATGTGTAACTTTTTGTAGGTCTTTTAGTCGTAGTTTGAGAGTTTTCAAAGATACTGACTCTAATAATAATAATGAAGGATGGTTAAAAAAATTACTAGTAAGACGTATAGAACCAACAAAAGAACAGCATTCTCGTATGCTTTCTGATAAAGAAGTGATTTATGAAATGCAAACGCATAATGTAAGGCCAGATTCAATTAATGGCTATATTAAAAATTAGTAAGATATTATTCACTTTTTTTGTTTGATAACACTATAAGTAAGTTTAATTATTAAACAATAATTACATGTATTAAAAATATTTCTATCAATAAATCTAATTTTTTTATATTCTAGAATAACATTTTTATGTATTGCAATAGATTAGGAGTTCTTAAAATATAAAAAATTAAATAATGAAATTAATATTTGGAGGAAGTCATGGGTTCTGGATTAAAGTTTTTATTTTGTTTTAGAAAAAATAAAAATATTGGAACAAAAGCTAAAATTAAATTAAAAACTAATGAATAATTTTTTTTTTTTTGGTGCTTTAAAATTACATAAGATATTAGATTATTTAAAATTATATCTATAATATTCAAAATATATTGATGAATTGAATAATAATAAATAAATATTTCTAACATTTTATTTAGTTTCTCCAATTTGTCGCAAAAAAAAATGATAATAATATAATAATAGTTATATTAGCTTCGATGCGAAGCGGAGAAGGTATTAATTTTACTATGATGTGTTTTTTTTTTTTTTTTTTTTTTTTTTTTTTTTTTTTTTTCCTCT